GGACTGAGTTGTGTCGCCTTTTATACTGTGCTCATCAGCTGCATCCGTTCCACGTGATGCGCCTGCTCCTGTGCTTTTAAGTCGACATTCACACTTACCACCCTCCATCATCGATCTCGTGATTTGCAGTAACCGAAAATAGTTTACAATAAATACACATGCATATATAAGATAAAACAGACAATGATGAGACAGTATTTGGCTCCTGTTCTAGCCATGTGGATTCCACATTTGCTTGTTAGTGGAAACAGCGCATGGCACATTTTCATCAATTAATCGGAGTACAGGCGAAATCATTCGTTTGACGTACTGCTATCCTATTGGAGAGAGGACACGGTATACTGCTGTCGCGGCTTAGATGAGTACACAGTTGGATTAAGGACCACTGCTGCCCCTTAGTGTGGCCTTTTGCTTAGTTGATATTGGCTGGATCGAGCGGGTCCCATTGGTTCCCTCCGAATATTTGTTGACATTGAGGTAGGCCACATTGCAATCAATTTAAGTCCAGAGATGAACATGATGGCAAGTTCAATTAAGCAGCAGCCCATAGTGATGACGATGTTGGAGTCATTCTGTGAGCCAACTGATGGCAATTTGCAATGGAATGATAATTGATACATCCTGCTTAAAATAAAAAACAATTTTATTATTTAAAAATACCTTTATTTCCCCTAAGCATATTCACCTTACCCTCATGTTTTCACCAAACTGTCATTTGTGTAAGTTCAATTTGATTGACATTACCATAATTGCCGCATGTTTTTGCAACCACGTGCGCAGCGACCGTTCTCCTTCATGGATGATCTAAGCCTTTCTCCTCCACCTTTCTTTGGCGTGTGATAGCCATTAAACAGACACCCTTACTTTTGATGCCCTATCATGGAGCAGGAGGTAGCATGAATACAATGCAGGTTTAAACGTGACCACTATTTCCATTCCAGTCTTCGGAACGAATATCGAGGAGAGATAAATACAGAAAGAGCTTTCTAAACTGGCCCTATCAACAAATGCTTGCTCATATGCCAAGAGTTAGTAAATGAGCTATGTCAAAGATGATTCTATTCCGCATTTGGTAGTGCTCTACAGTAAGCATATCATCCACGTCAATCGGCGACTTTCCTGCTTTGCGAATTTCCAGCAAGTATTTTCCGACTACGACATAAATAGATGGATTTCGAAAAGTGTAAACCTTTTTTGGAGCCCTATTTCAATTGCATAAAACATTGTTACTGATATCATGTTTGAGACCAAGTAAATTGTTTGGGCCACCTCGACACTACCAATCAGCCATAACTGATTGGCACCTAACTGCTTTGGCTAGGTAGCACATGCGATGAATTGCTGGTTGAAATGTAGGCTAGGCATTCTCATACCTATTAATAGCAACGATGACAGCAATTCCATTTTTGGTGTGAGGTTTTATACCCATAATTTGCAGGGTCACGTAAAAGCCAAAAAGAAATAGATGTGGGAAAAAAATAGAATTCATGGCATTTTATTACCTATCAACCTAAACATTCGATTCGCCTCCTATTCCTCTCAAAGGGAATGTACCTGTGGTGTAAGGTGGCAGACAACAGGGTCGTATTACACCAGAACGCAGTATTATCACGGCTGCGTAAACTGTGCGTACGGGAAGGTTTTCCATTAACGCAGCGTTAAGCCGAAGTAGTAGGTCATTATATGCTTCAACAGGCACGCAGTGTCTATTCGATAATATACTAAAGCCTTGGCTTAAAGGATTGCCTTGGCGAGGATCGGATGAAGAAGTGGCTGCTTCCACCCTTCCCCTTACATAGAACGATGTTCTGGTTGATGTATCCACCACCGAAACTATTCGAGGGGGCTCCTCCTCAACATCGTCTTCTCCATGCTCCATCGAGGGTGACATGGATTCCTCATGCTCTTCTGAAGGTACCATTACACCACACCGGTAATCCTACTCACCTCCTTCCATATCTAAAATGCTATACGGCTCAAATGAGCGCAGCCTGCAACTCCGATTTGAACCAGCATAAAGGACAACTCAACAGTGTTCATTTTGCATATGTTCAAAGTAAAAATCTTAAAGATTATTCAATTTGGTGAATCCTTTTTAAATGAGAAATGCTTTTTGGCATGGAAAACGAACTATTAAAGCTTAAAATGGA